TGCTGGTGTGAAACTCGAAAATGCTGAGACCCCTGTGCTGTGATTCCTCCATGTACTCTCACTAACACCTGTGTGCTAATGTGTGGCGTAATTAACAAAGAAAACTGTTATTTAAACTGATTGGATAATGTGACAATAGAGATCAGTTGACTACATCATCCTATTGTCATAATATCAGATTGACTGATTATTTATTATTTATTTATTTATTATAGCCAGTCCACACATCGGTGCATCAGTATTTCTCTCTCCAGCAGTCTTCTTACGCCAAGCCTTTATTTTTACCCTGTGAAATTCACATTAGTCATTTTTAAAAGTAATGCAACAGTCGACGTAAATACTTCCTGTAAAAAGTAATTTACAATTTTTTTCTCAAAATTATCTGCTTTTACACTTAACTGCAGGTTAAAAATCTTAACCTGAGTGTGTGCATATTTCCTCTAGCAGTGGGATTATTCATATCCCGAGTAACCTGGGATCCAATAGAAACACAATATGTTGCCCACAATACCAAAGTTGTTTTTTTTAATAACAATAATAATAATAACGATGTCGATATAATGAGATACTTGATACACTGCAATGCAATCATCAGAGATTAGGGATGGGAACTGAGAACTGGTTCTCGTAGATTGGTTCCCAGTAGTCAATTCCTTGGAATTGTTAGTCTGCCTGCCTTTCGATCCTGCACTCAAACTATAATCAGCTGATTTCAGTACGCGTGTCAGAGGAGGAAAATAGCTACAGTCAGGGGTGGGGGACTCCAGGCCTTGAGTGTCGGTGTCCTGCAGGTTTTAGATGTGTCCTTGATCCAACACAGCTGATTTAAATGGCTAAATTACCTCCTCAACATGTTTTGAAGTTTCAGGTGTGATTCAGGTGTGTTGACCCAGTGCGACATCTTGAGGCCTGGAGGCTGGATATGGGCATTTATTTTTATTGCACAAAAGGACGAGATAAATGGTAAAGTGGAAAACTGCATCCAGGACAGAAACAACCGGATTATGCTGCTAACACAACTTCACTTCTTTGCAAGCATCTGTCGAGATACCAGGCTAATGCTAAGCTAGCCAAGACCCCAGGGTGAATGCTGTGGATGCCGACCCCAGCAGCCAGACCCTGAGGCTGCAGTCTCTATTTCTACCTGTTCACGTTTATAAAGCAGAATCGCTCTGGTTGTCGCTTTTGTTTCATCTTGTGCTGTCAGCTTTGAATTCTACAATGAGAACCCAATGACAACTGATAAGAGAATCAATAAGGAATCGAATCAATAACTGATATCAATAATGGAATCAGAATCGCTACATTCTTATCAATTCCCATCCCTATCAGCGATACAGCGCGATACCTGTGTAACTGAAAAAGATAACGCACGGCAGGATTGCTACATTGGTATTGTTTTCCCGCCCCTCATCCCCGCCCACAAAAGTTACAGACCCCTCTGTGGTTTTTGTCCCATTTTCTGAATAAACTCAGTTGATCTTGTACAAACACATGTTAGAGATGTTTTTAATTTTGTTTCTTTGTTTTGTTTATTTTTATCCAGCATTTTTCAGGTAATTGCAACACTTATGTAGTACAACATTAATATTAAGTTAATAACTCTAATATAGTCATTGAACTTAATAATGTGTTACTTACCTTTACATTCTCTATAAAACTTTTTTAAGTCAGTGATAATTACAACATGTTTTCCATCAGATTGCATAGTTTTACTCTCCTCTTTCATTTTCTGCAACAGCCTCACTGTCTTCAGCTTCAACAGCAGCAGAATTTGAAACTAATTATGTTTGTTGGGCCACACTGTGGATCCTTTTGAGGCTCCGCTGTTGACAAAAAATTAAAATAAAATCTGGCAAAGGCAATGATGTCCTCACGATGCAACTAGAATAGAATAGAATAGAATAGAATAGAATAGAATAGAATAGAATAGAATAATCCTTTAATTGTCCCACAAGGGGGAAATTTGGTTGTAACAGCAGCCAAAAAGACAAATATACAAACAAACAGTACACAGGACACAGAACAGAAACATACACAATTTTTCTTACAGGACAATGGTTACTATATGTTACTAAATGTTACTAAAAGAAACATTTTAAAACAACGAAGCTTCACAAGGTAAAACTCACCGAAAATGTGATGGAGTTCAGCAAATGTCTAATTATTTTAGGAATTTAGTAAAGAATAAGAATAGACAACTCGATACATTTAAGAAATCAATTTAAACCTGAAGGTGTCGGGAGGACAAAGATCACAGGGTCACCAGAATCTTTTAAAACCTTCTCTCTGGGAAACCATAAACACCACAACCCAATTTTACAGAACAGCCAGTAGCTGTTGATGTATTGGGTACTGATGAAAGGTCCCAGTGCGCATTATCAGGATGTATTTCTCAGAAAAAATGATCAATAAACTTGACTAAAATTGATAGAGCTATAGAAGTTATTGCAAATAAATAACTCTTAAATCTGAGGATTTCTGTCACTGATCCTCAAATTCATCCACTGAAAAAACAACAAACACTGGTGTGATGGATATCCAGTGGTCACTGCTGACTGGTCTGGAGCTGAAAAGTCAAACTGGCTCTAAGGCGTTAATAAGAAAAGCACCCAAAAAACAAGACAAAGAGAGCATGTAAATGCCACTTGCAGACTACTTTTTGAAACAGCTGTAGGCATCGCACGTTGAGCTCAAGCTCATGTGTTCCTTGAAAGGTAAAAACATAATAGGATCCATTTGTCACAAAAAGTCCTTTAAGGCGCCTCTGTGATGGTTGTCAAGAGGATGAGTGGCTTCATAAAACCGGGTGCCAACAGGGGCTGTGGCGATTTGAGATGAGCTGCATCGATCTAAGCTGTCTAAGCACACAACTAGAATTGATAGCGCTATAACACACTTTCTATTCAATTCAGGCTGTGTGTGTCTAAGTTTAGACTGTGCCACTAGCTTAAAGCATGACTCATGCTGTCAATAGCAGAGGGGGAGGGGGATACCCCATGGTTACTGCTGTGATGGCCACTATTATTATGGCTGTAGTTGTGCCCCAGACACACAAACGTGCACATGCTAGATTAAAACTGATAAATTGGATAAATAAATTGGGCTTTTATTAAGAACTTGTCTGTGTCATTCACCTCCAGTGTGCAGGTCACTGCAGTCTAATAACTCTGGCTGAATGTGGCCTATTTACAAACTGCATATTGAGATATACCATTGTTTGCTCCTGACATGTTGGCCTGTCATTCAGTTTCACAAAATGTGCACAACTGCTTAATGTTTAGACTTTAAACATTTATATAGGAGTAAAAATAAAAGTTGCTTTCCATCTTTAGTGGAGAAGAACGTAATGCATTGTGTGAGTTAGAATCCAAGTTTGCTCAGTGACCTTGAGGCTGTGTGCATATAAGAAAAAAAAGCAAAACATTAAAAAAAAATTTATTAGGACGGAAAGAGAAAACAGCCAGTGGGCTCCCTAAAAGTGATTGTGATTCCACCTTCTTCAAGGTGTAGAGACACACAGATACAACTGTGCAACACCAAATGCTTCATTTTTTCTTTAGCCTCTTGTGTCATTGGTGAGAACTGCATCTCTCCAGCCTTTAACAAGTCTCACAGGATGTTAAAAACACTTCTAATCAATGATTATTTGGCCCCGTTAAATTGAAATCTGCATTAAATAAATGTTAAAATTAAACAGATACAGATACTGACACACCACAGCTATATCAAATATATAGCAGTGATATTATTTGGACATTGTAGATCAGGTCCAACGTAGATTGTTGTAGATCACATCCAGTCTATCAGCATTCTAGCAGTTTAGTAAAGATTAAGACTAGACACCTGGTTTTTGAGACATATATCAGGGAACAATTTGAACTTGAAGGTGACGGGCCAAAAAATAAGGGTCAATATTAGGATTAATGTCTTGACTAGAAGAACTAAGAGAGGTCTTCACTGACATAAGCAAAACTCGCAGCCTTAAGTGGATAAATCCAGTTTCCCTCTCTTAGTGATATCATTTTACTTACGATGGGAGTGTGAGCTAATGGTTATGGCAGGATTTGAACTGGTTGAAAACAGCTGCGTAATTAGGTAACTACGTTGAACTGCCTTATCTAACTGAATGGACTTTTTTGGGGACCAGGAAGTTGTATTAAGAGGTTTCTTTAATACATAATCATTTGATGAATCATTTTCAATTTTTGCACGTTCTTTCAAGGCAGTGCGTAACATCAGCTCATTAACTTAAAATTGCACAAGGGGCCAGGTTTCAGGATTAAATATAATACCGATGTATAATCAGCCAAGCTTCATCCTACACTGCACAACTAATTTTGTAAAAATGTCTGAATATGGAATTAAAATTTCATCTGAACTGCATTTTCTGCATTTCATTTAAAATGTGTCTGATCAGGTTACATGTAAGTGTCTACGCATACAATATAGCAGCAAATTAGCAGGAGTAGGAGGCATCTCAGGCTTGGCAGTGCTTGGAGCCCAATACACTTTCACTGGCGTTATGCAAAACCAGAGAAATACACCTTAAGGGTAAAAATGAGTGAGTAACGTGAGCAACTGTACTGCAGCAGGCAGCTGGACTGACATAGGAACGCCTCCATTCTGCGAGAAGAAAATGTAAAATAGCAATGAAGGAAATGTATAAAAATGTTTCTGTGTGAAACAGTTCAGACCATCTACCTGTGTGTGTATTATAAAGCTCACTGCAGTCGCCAACTTCAACATGTCTACAGTTGTTGAGTTCTGGTCAAAAGTCTGATGGGACAATCGTTAGTCTTAAAAAGAACATCTTTGCTTTAAATTTGAGTATAAAGGAAATTTTCCATTTCTAGGAAAGTCCTCTTCAGCATATTTGAACATGTTTTACTGAGTGTTTCAGGTCCAAGTAGAAGGTGTTAAATTCTGTCACATCATCTCGCCTTAATGAAATTCTTTTCATTTTGTTGCAACAGACACAGACATGCCCGGTTACTGACCCGTGTGCAGTTGTTCGCCTTGGGCTCCAAGTCGGTGACCTTGGTGATCTGCTTGAGGAAGTCGGATTCCTGCATCCCCGGCTGGGAGCCTCGCCGTTTGAACTGTGCCCGCGGGTTTGCCAGGATCACCTGGAGATTCACTGCAAAACCTGAGGAAGAAGAGAAGACAAAGGTGAAGGGATGAAGACGCTAGCCAGCATGGATAAAAGGGACATTACGAGGCTGTTATAATCACAGCAGAAAATGACCAAGTTGATTAGTGCATCTAATGACTGTGATATGGCTGATATGAAATTCATTTACCACAGGGGTCTGCATTCTCTGGTGATAATTGTACTGTAGATGAGAAGGAAAATAAGTGAATGTCAGAGGGAAGAATGCTCAGGATGCCAGTGTGCTGGAGCAGAAGCAGGGATTAATGCTTGGCTTGAAACCAGATTTAATCAATCTGATTAGAAAAACTTGGTAACTGTGGGGAGAAACCGGCTGTGTGACTCCATGTAATTACAGCAGCGGGGGAAAAAAGGTATTAGCTGCCCTACAGCCAGAAATACATTTGAAGGTTGGGAAGTATTTCACATTGTGAGACAAGTTTTATATAATCTTTTCCATAACTCCACAAAATTTTTATTTTAGACTCAAATCAAACGTGACAAACTAAACAGGAAAGCTAATCCCTGCAGCTGCTGCAGTTAACCTTGTGCAGCATGTGTGTGGAGAACACGTCATTCACACATCTGATGTGTTGTTGACCCTGTAGCCACAGGTCTGAAGGTGACGTCTGTTTTGCATAATTTTTGCCTGCTTTGAGCTTCCACTGTCAGAAGAAAGTGTCGTCTGCAGTTAGTCTGTCAGCTCTCGTTACTGCCACATTAGGTACCGTTGAGTTTTTAATAACTGATGCTCTTAGAATTCATGGCTGTGGCCTCTGTGGACTTTTATTTTGAAAAAACGCATTTGCTGTAAAACAGATCTGCGCCAAAGTTACAGAGCGCTGGTATTTGGCCCTCAGCTCAGTATTTCATTTTAATGCAGGAGTTTGTCCTCGTCTTCAGGGCTAGGTGTGTCACTAGACAATGACATAAGATATTTACACCTTCATTTAATCTTGACCTAATAAGTCTGTCAGTAAGCTCGAAATATCTATGGTTATGTATTAAATGGACAAAAACACAGGACCAAAACTGACCTCTGTGCTACAGTTTAATTCAGTGATTGGGTCTGGTCCAAAGGAGTGGATTAGCTGTTTGTACACATAACACAGGCAAACCACTCTGTTGTTGCTGTAAATACTGAATATTAATTCCCAGATGAAATCCTATAATGCAAGTAGTATGGTCTCAATTTCAATCTAATTTTCTAAGCTGTGTGTTGCTTCTGGCAAATGCTTTCTTAACTTTCCACAGAAGACGAATGCGTTCTACTACTTCCTGTCTTCGATGTTATTTCCCTTTACGATGCCACTGTGCAGCCTAAAGCTATCTACTGTGCTGGTTAAAAAAAATCATTTTCTTTCTATCTGTTGTAGTAGACAGAAACAGCAATAGAAGACTGAGTGACTAAGCTAAAGTTGTTTACTTACACATGCGGACATGAAAATAGGAGCCTGTTTTAAAATTCATTACTTACTATGAACATACAAGTTAAAGAGACATTAATGGCTTGACTGCCCGTCCACTGCCACTTCCTAACTCATTTACTCCATGAAGATGAACTAAGGATGTATAACACACTGACAGTTGCTCAATTCAATTCAATTCAGTTGCCTCAAGGTGCTTTATATTGTAAGGTAGACCCTACAATAATACATAAATGGTAAATGCTAAATGGCCTGTATTTGTATAGCGCTTTACTAGTCCCTAAGGACCCCAAAGCACTTTACACATCCAGTCATCCACCTATTCACACACACAGTCACACACATACATTGATATATTGAGAAAAAACCCCAACAATCATATGACCTCCTATGAGAAAGCACTTTGGCGACAGTGGGAAGGAAAGACTCCCTTTTAACAGGAAGAACAGAGCACCATTCCTGCCCCAGTTTTAGTATTAACTCAAGTCTATTTTTGCTTTTAACTGAATTAAGTATACATTGACTTGCTCCAGAATACTCTTGAACTTTAGATTAGTTCACCTGCCCCTATGTCCCCTCACTGCTGAGCCAAATAGTCTCTCCCAAACTCAGCTACTTATCACAGACGCAGTATCTCCAAAATGAAATAAACAAGCAGAAGATCTGTTGGAGCTAAATAGAGAAGCCAGACTGATGCTAGCAGACAGGGCACACATGGAATGCCATAACCAAGTGGCTGCCAGAACATCCGTGCTGATTATGGTCTAGAAATTTCAAGGTCGAAATGGGCTTGCCATATTAATAACCAATAACCAATTGCACAGAGTTGTGCTGGACAAGCAGAGGAAGACAGCTGTAGTGATTGATGTAGCTATACCAAGTACCAAGCAACACCAGGAAGATGGAACAAGAGAAGCTTGAGAAATACCAAAGCCTGAGAGAGGAGCTAAAGAAGGAGTGTAGGGTGAAGGCAGCGGTGGTCCTCGTGGTAAACGGGCCACTCGGGGCAGTGAGTGGCTCCAGCAGATCCCAGGAGTGACATCCAACATCTCTCTCTCACTATATATATATATATATATATATACAGACAGGCAGACAGACATGAAACTCAAATTCACTCTCCATAGAGAATATTGCCGCTTTGTCTGTTTTATTTATTTATTTTGTTATATCAAAGAAAAAACTTTATTCTTTTCCCAGATGTGTGTGTGTGATTGTGAGAAGAGTTCTCTGAGCATTAATTATTGCTTCAGTACTCATCTGGGAACTGTTACTGAACGGCTAGAGGGAGAGAAGTGGTGCTGACGAGAGGCGCTGACAGGAGGAGAGGAGGAGATCGTCAGGGAACAACAGGTGTCTGTTTTATCCTCATAAAAACATACGAAAGGCTCTGGCTGCTTCAATTTCCATTCAATATCACCATAAAGCTTTTAGTGACTCTGTGACTGGGGTGGGGCAGTTAGGTAGGGTGTTCTCCATATTTTGTGCACCTGTATGCACACATTCCTGTGTGCCACGTTTCCTTACTGAAGAAAGAAAACACCTGATCACCAACATCAGCCACAATGTTAAGACCTATCCTTGTTGAGCCTGTTTTCCAGCCCACATCTTTACTGGTTTATTTTACTCCCAGCACTCTTTTTTGGCGTGTCATCAGTTTGCTGTAAATCACGAGTAATAACATGAATTTGGCAAATTATTCATCTGACTTTGAAAAATACCAAAACATAGCATTTCTTTTTATTATTGGAAAAGAAAACAGACGTTCACAGGTTTCAGATGTTAGATCTTCGCGCTGACGCCTGAGGTGAGCCAGAAGCCTTGTAAACATTTTATGGCTTTACTTTTTACAGGTGTAGTGTGAAGTAAAAAGACTCAGAAAGTGAAGGAAAACACAATGAAAAAAAAAAAAATCTAAACACTGTGGTACAGTTTAAAGTAATTTATAGCCATCCTTAAACGCCTGTCAGGACATTAAAGAGCTTGAGTGTGGGTTATGTTTTAAGCATTTCTCACAAAGAGGTTTCTAGTTCCACGTGTGACAGGAGGATATTTGCAGAAACTTCTTCTGTGCACAAGGTCTCAACATAATTACTGAATATTTATTTATGCAAATCATCAGTGGGTGGCACGCCTTTGCAATCAGTGTGGCAATTTGCCCCTGGTAATTCACCATCCTCACCTCTATTTTCCCCTCACATCCGCCACCTCTAGCTGAACAGAATATTCTAGGCTGCAGTTATCCAGACGCGGTGATACATGGCCAGCAGACAAGACAGCAGTCCTCTGAGGTAAGTTAGTGTCAGAGTGGGTCACGCAGAGAGAGAAACAGCAGACATGCAAATGAGTTTGGTATGTATTATCTCTCTGTAAGTTTAGTGTACTTTAGACCAAGTGAAAGCACATCCACACGGATGTACACAGTTAGATAAATGTGTCCATACAGGACTCATATAGCATATAGAATAAAGAGAGCATATTTCTCCCATATTGGCTTATTTTTATTGGATCCCTGATAAATCCAGAATCAAGTTTAAAATCCTTCTCACATACAAGGTCTTCAATAATCAAGGCCCCATCTTATCTTAATAACCTCATAGTGCCTTATCACCACAATAGAGCACTTTGCTCTCGGACTGCTGATTTACTTGTGCTTGCTGGGATATATAAAAGTAGAATGGAAGGCAGAGCCTTCAACTTTCTGTTGAACCAGGGAGTTTGAAATTGACAGACAGACACCCGCTCTACTTTTAAGTTTAGGCTTCAAACTTTTCTTTTTGACAATGTTTATAGTTTGGGCTAGATCAGGTCACCATGAATCCTGCAATGGGTCTTGGCTGCTGGGGGCTTCCCATGATGCAATGAGTGTTTTGTCTTCACTCTCCTCTAAACTATGTGTTTACACACAACTTTGCATTTAATCATTAGCTTTCATTAGTCCTTTTTCATGCCTCCCTCACCCACATCCATCTCCCAGATAGCTGCCTCTCCCTCAGCCTGGCTCTGCTGGAGGTTCCTTCCTGTTAAAAAGGCGTTTTCCCTTCCCACTATCGCCAAATGCTTGCCCAAAGGGTTTCTCTCTGTATTACTGTAGGTCTTTACCTTACAATATAAAGCACCTTGAGGTGACTGTAATTGTGATTTGATATATATAAAACTGAATTGAAATACTGAAAGCAGCTATTTTTTTTTAAATTTGACAGTCTTTTCTTTTTATGATGTTCAACCTTTGGACATCCACTAGTTAATTGAGAAACCATCGGAGGTTAGGGACTGGGTCCACTTAATGGCGACCCCTTTTTATCAAGTTGGTGCCTCTGTGGAACACACAAATAAAAAAGAAGATTTTAGCAGAAAAACTGAAATGTAACATTTTCTAATTAAAAAAAAAAGACTGAAGTAAAACAAAACTCATCTTTAACACTCAGACGACTTATCACTCTAAAGCCACAGGCAAATTCCCTTTTTCAAATTAGCTACACAAAGGCACACACAGGAAAGTGCTGCAACGCCTCCACAGTTATTAGGTTATGTTGGTGTCAGGCTCATTACTGCTCCATGTGCAATACT